ATAACAAGCTGTATGACTGTAATAAACAACTTTCTCTTCTGGTTCCAATACAAGTAAAGCTAAAAAAATATTCATTTTCTTAAATCAAAGTTCTTATATACATTATGTTGTTGCCAAATTTAGAATACCTATACAACTTTGGTCCTATTCCAAGTATGGTGGTTAGAAATATGTAAGTATACCATGCACTCATTTTTAAAACTATTTATAACTACATCTTCGAAATAACTAGGTTGGTACTGTGATTTCACAAACCCAATAAACTAAAACATCTCTAACTTCTCCAAAACAATTTGTACCACTTTTTTTTATTATTAAGTATATGTAAGAGATAATCAAAATTAAACACAGAACTACAAAACATTGCATCATCTTATTAACTACTAATACAAGGGCATTCAAAGTAGATGTTGTATCAAAAATTAAGAATTAATTAATAATATATTGTTTTCTTTATATTTTAGACTTGAATTATGTATGAACTCATTACATTAGTCAACAGTAAATACTTACCACATGTATAATTAGTGTATTTTTAAGCTTGTTACTGAATTAGTAATAAAAATTGTTATAGCATTACTACATTTTATGAAAATGTCTTGAAGTTGTAAAAGAATATATAAAGCATTTAAAATAACTAGGAAATGTACAACTGACAAGAATTATTGTAGATTACTTAAAGAAATATTCTGAGGTGAAAACCAAATATTGTTTCATTACATATAACATTGCAAAACATAGTCAAGCTTACAACAATTTGAATAAGTGTGTCATCACCCCATTAAAAAAATAATCTTAAACTAACTGCCAGAGTTAATAATAATTGAACTTTGATTATTAAACAATTCTCATTAAACACAGGATGATAACCAAATCATTTTTAATCCTATAAAAAAAAAGAGCAAATCCAGAAGTAGATTTTTATTGTATGTTACGAAGAAGAATGAAAAGTAACAAAAAAGTTATAACTATAGAATGCACCTGGAGTCAGGGTAAGAAAAATATATTTGAAACTACTTTTTCCCTAATAAAATTCAGAAAGTACTTTACTTGTCTTTTTCATAATTTTGATTGCTCCACTCAAGTCAACAGATAAGAAGCTATTTATATATTTATACAAACTGATTTAGTGCAAAATTTATATAAAATGCTTTATATTAGTTGTATTGTTATCTATAAAGGAAAAAAATATGCAAAACTCAATTTTTTTATTATTTATTACTGTTCAAAAAGTTTATTTCATACATACAACCAATTCTGTTTTATATTCATTAACTTATTTATCTTTGTGATTTTTTTTTGGTATATATTTTTTGCTCACTGAAGCAGTTATTAACATAATCAAAAACACAACTGTTACATAATCAATAATAACTACAGAAATATTTCGGTGGATTTCACGAAGAACAATAAAAAAAAATCAACTTCCAGCAACTTAACATGTTTTAGAGAATAGACATATTCTGCCAAAGATGAGTCATTTCAGTCTACTTTTACAAACCTAACCCCACATACTGCCGAGTTGATCATATATGCTTCCTCTCATGGGATTAACTTACAGAAGCAGGCAAGTTCTGGTGAAAAAAGATTGTTCGCTACATATTTAAAGTTTTGTACCTAGACCTTTAACTCTTTTGTGACAGGTCAGAGATGAAAGGCCATGTCATCTCGTTTGTTGACTCCCATTCAAAATTTTACTGAACTAATATTTCATGAATATATGTTAATAACTGTAATTATAATTCAAATTTTTGTACCATACATTACTCAATTTCTTAATTTAAAAGTACATATAAAAAAACATAGATAGACATCGATTTTTGTGTGTCACATGATATATTGGATGCAGCACTGGTTCAAATTGGATGTTCGTGATATCAAAATACAAAGTCTATAGTTTCATACAAATTAGGAACTCAAATTACTGATATTGACAATCTGGAATATAAAATAAAAACGTCTTATCTTTTCTATTAGCTAAGATATTGCTCATGTAATAAATCAAACACAGTGGCACCCCACCCACCTCTTTCCATTTTTGGAAATGCTTCCTTATATACTTACTTCTGTATATGACATTAATAACCAATCGGAAGCTCAGAATGTCCCCCTAGTGGCATTCTCAGCCATTTTAATGGGCTTGGTGCCATTTAATTCTTTTGAACCAATATTTCAACAAGGTAGGGTTTGTCTTTAGTCTGCTCAAAATTTAATATTTTATTAGACTAAAATACATCTTAGTTACTCAAATGTATATATATAAAACCTAAAGAAAATTATTTTGTTTCATGTCTTCCACGTGCAAAATTTTTAAAGACTTAACAATCTATATCAAGCAGCAACTGAGTACAAAGGTCGTAACTAGAAGAGATAATTGTTTGTACTTCTTTATTTACTGTTCTATGTTTTAAGAAAAAGAAGTTTAAGAAATTATTTCTAAATAGCAATAATGTATAATAATTGAAATGTGATTATTTTACAAAATATTAGTCTACTAAAACAAAGCCAAGACAGGTCACTTTGTAAAGACTAAAGGTCAGTTTTATATTATTGGATACAGTAACATGAGCCGCATCATTGAAACTTCTGTGTCATTAGCCAGGCACGGCTGAGAGGTCAATATAATAAAGTAATAAATATATATATAA